GCCCGGCTCCCCTCCCCTCCCCTTCCCTTTCTTCTCCCCGCGCTGTTTATTCGCCCAGCCCGGCCCGTCTCCGCCGTCGAATCGCCGGGCGGAGCGCTGCGAAGGCGAGCAACCGCGAGCGAGGTACGGACTTTCTTTTTGGCCAAAAGTCACTTGTGCGCGCCCCTGGGAGGAGGTCCGCGCTGCTCCAGAACGCCTCGGGCGAAGCAGGTCCTCCGCCTCTCCTCCTGCCCCAGCACCTATTGCCCAGTGCACGAAGCCCCTCCTGCGCCTTCCCGGGGCGGGGGGGGGGGGGGGGGAGCCACTTCCCCTCCTCCCTGGCAGTTTTTACAACTGCAAAGGAACAAGCTGTTCAGATGCCGATCTGCAAAAAGTCGCTCGCGTTCCTCGAGGCCGGTTGCAAATCGTGGTTGGCGTTTTCCTGCTTCCCGGGGTTCGGTCTCTTTTTTTTGCTCGTTTGCATTCGGCTGCCCACGTGGATGTGGGCCAGAGGAAACAAAGCCCCCCTGAATCTCCACCCCAGCGGTGCGCTTTTGCTGCGCTGTTCACCTCCCTTTCCTTCCTCCCTCTGCAATGCTTTTGGACCGTCGGCAATGTAATCTCCAGGCAGGTGACTTGGTTCCTAAGGATGAGTGGACTTCATATCCCATCAGCCCCCCCTTCTCTTGCATTCCTTCCCCGCCCCCTGTGCGCTGGATGGTTTGCGTTCGGAAGTGCAAATTCGCTTTGATCACTTCGATAGCGAGGCCGGTCGCTTCAATCCCCTTGCTCTGGAATTGGCAACCTCTCGTCAAATCAAAGAGTGTTTGCATTTCTGGAAGAAGCTGGTTTAGAAATCACCCAGACGGTTGCCACTTCAATCGATTAAAACGATAGCTGCTTGATTTGCTGTTGAATGCACTTTCTTGTAGAAATTTCCCTTTTTCCCCCCTAAAACGTGGGCCAGATTTTCCCCTGCAAAGAAAATACTCTTGCCTGACATCAAAACAGTGGGAGACCAGTGGTGATGGACACTGATCAGAAGTTTATAACTAAATTCAGATTATCAAGGATGCAGCACTAGGGATGTTGCTATTTGTATTGTTGGAGACCCTTTACTGAATTATTAGCTAGGATAAACTTCCTTGGGGGAGGAATCTGTAAGAGGCAGAGAACCCCACAAATCAGTCTCCAAACTTAATTTGCATCTATGGAGAGGCAACTTTCTACTAAGAGTAGGTGGAACCAGGATTTAAACTACATCGAGGTGGGGTCATGAAACTCTGGAGTGGGGTAAGATGTAAAAAAAAATGTAAAAAAGAAGGCTTTGTTTTATTTACTTATTTATGGGAGGAAGTTGTCACTGGAGTGACTGCATGAGGTCTTTCAACCTCATTGGATAAGCTATCCAATGCAGTTGGAGACTCTTGGTGAAAGCTAGTGGGTTTGCAGAGCCCCTGTTCCTGATTGAGGAAAAAAAAATA